CCTGCCCCCAGCCCTGCACAAATTGCACTGGGCACATTCTGTCCCCAGACGAGGCCAAAGAGGCTGCGAGACAGCGACGTACCAGCACCAGTGGCTCATTATCCCAGGGCACCAGCAGGCAGATGCTCCTCCTGCGCGGTCTTCCGTTTCCTAGCGATGGTGGTGGGCTCAGGGACTGCCGCCGCTTCTCAGCCCTCTCGACAGCTACAGGAGGAGACAAGTCAGGAGCAGCTCCCAGCAGGGGCGATTGGCCTGTACCGAGGGGGTTGTCCCTTCTCACCCCTCTCCGGATGCCCGTCTTGGAGGGCAGAGCCAGGGACACGGCCTTAAGCCGCAGACAAGGCTGCGATACCCTGGGGCAGCAGCTGGCCACAAGAGATCCACGGGGAAGCTGTCACAAGAGCCCGCTGGGGCTCCACGGGCCAGCGGCCCCATCCCACCTCCACAGACGTTCCTTGCTCGCTGCCCACCCGAACCACAAACCACACAAACTGCCAGACGTGGCCACATCTCACACTGTGCCACAGGACCCTAGCCACAATGGGCACACGGGAGAAAACGCCACTGCCTCAGGACCAGCACGTTCCTCCTTTCCAGAGGACACCACAAGCTCGTCCCGCCTGCAGACCTGAGCTACCTCGCGTCCCGCTGCTGTCCCGCACCAGTGGCCCACCCAACCCTGTCACAGAGCTGGGCCCCACCTGCAGTCACCTTCCTCCATCTGCACAGCCCTGGTCGCTGTCACTGGCGCGAGGCTCCATCGTCGCACCTCCTGTTCCCTGTGCAAGCAGGAGAGAGCCAGTTAGGGTCGGCCCCCTGACCTGGGAGCAGGACAAGACTCAACACGCCGAGGACTCCCACAGGCATCCCTGCTGTGTTTCTTTGCTGTCTTTGCCAAACAGCAGAGCTCAGGGCAACAGCCTTGAGTCACTGCAGCAGCCTAAGCATGGCTCCAGGCAGAGGAGCTGCTCCTCTCCCCCCACCAGGGCCCCGGCTCGGGCAGCCTCAAGGCAGCAGCCGGGGATCCCGGGTGGGAGCCGCTGCTCCTCACAGGGCCCAGGTCGGACCCACCCTGTCCTGCTGCTCCACAGCACCGCAGGGGAACAAGGCTGCAGGGATGCTGATCAGCACAACACCAGGGCTGCCCCACAGCTGGGTGACCCAGTAGCCAGGTCTCGGGCCTGGAGAGCAGCACTTGGGTACTGGGATGGCTGGGAAGGAGAACACTTTCTTCCCGGCTGGCACCGACAAGAGGGCGCTCGCCGGATGAGCAGTACATTACCTTCCTGTCCACTTGGCCACCGCACAGCAGACTCCTCTGCAGGACTGTGGGGACAACCCCCCCCACATCCACTTCTCCTGGAACACAGGAAGAGACCAGCTTTGGTCTCAACTGATTTGGCTCTGGGGAGCACAGCCTCCCGTCCTCTTCATCGCTGTAGAGTAAATCCCATCTCCCAGGCACTGGCTACCGAGCCCAGAGCCTCTCTTGCTTCAAAGCTGCTCAGCTCCCCTCCAGAACGTCCAGGGCAAAGCCTGAGCACCCCAAACTGGATCCACTCTGGGAGCAAGCAGCCTCCAGGCTGTTTCTAAGCGAGGCAATGGGGAGGGAGGATGCTGCTGCCCCAGACACGGCAAACCCTTCCCTACTGACTCACCGTGGAGAAAACCTTTCCCTGCACAGCTGCAGAGCTCCATTAGCCACGACTTCGTCCCCCTCTCACATCTGCAAGCCCAGCCCAGGACGTGAGCAGTGTTTTATTACAGCTCAGCAGGTGCTGAGGGGACCCACGTCAAAGTGGCAACACCGGGCTCCCAGGCGTGCTGCTGCCTCTGGCTGAAAAGCTGTCAGCACAGCAAAGAGATTTCGTCTTCCCCTTTTCCCTGGATGTGTCCCCCCTGCAGAGTGGCCAGGGCAGAGTGAGGAGAAGCAAAGAGCTGCGCGCTGGGCTGCAGAGCGGGGCTGGGCGTCGGGCCCATGGCAAGACCCTGGGCATCTGACTGTCCCAGCGTACCGGCGGGGGCTCCAGTGCGGCAGCAGCGGGTACCGGTGGCGCACGGTTGGCAGTGGGGCTCTGCGGGGACACAACGATCAGCGCCTCTGTTAGCGGCGGGAGGATCCGATCCCGTCCTCCCCCCGTGCTCCCTCAAGGCAGTAGTGGCCGGAGTGGGTGCTCTCAGCACAGACGGTGCCGGCGGCCAAGCCACCGTTAGAGTCCATGGGAGCCGGAGCCTGCGGGCCGGCAGGACCGTGTCGCACACCAGGACCCCACTGCAGCCAGCAGCAATCCCTGCACAAGAAGGCAGGGCAGCACCACAGGCAGAGCTATGGGACCAGCACCGCCATAGCTGCGCCACCCATGTCCTTATCCTGCCCGTATCCCTGTGCCGCCTGCATCCCCGTGCCACCTGTGTCCCTGTGCCACGGAGGTGGGAAGCGGGCAATGAGGCTCGGCCTGTAGGGGAAAAGGAGAAGTCGGGGAGGGCGCTGGGGGGGCACGAACCGTGCGGGAGGGCGCCGGGCCGGAGGGCGCCTGGCGGGCGTGCGGGACCGCAGCGCAAACCGGGCACCCCCCGCGCCCAGCGCCGCTCCCAGCAGCGATCCCTGCGCCAGGCAGGTCAGCATCACTGCCAGCGCCAGAGGCAGCGCCACGGACTCGGCAGCGCCATCGCTTCCGACCGCAGCAGCAACGGCCACCGGCCCGGAACGCGCTGCGGGAGCCGCGCCGCCGGACCTCGCCAGTCGCCGCCTTCTACAGCTCGTGGCCCTGTTCCACCGGCACCCCCGGTCCACCCGCCTTCTACTGACAGCCCTGGGCCACCCTCCCCCTGACAGTCACTGACCCTGGGCCACCCCTGTCCTGAGCCCACCCTCGCCTCTGTGCCTGCAGCTTCCACAGCCCTGCTGTGCCCTACCAGGCAGGCACCGTGGCAGGGACCATGACACAGACCGCACAGAACACGATTCCCCTGAGCACCTCCCTGGCAATGACCCCCACGGGCCAGCTCAGGGGCACCCGACTTCCCGGGAGGGAGCAGGGGCACACGGGGAATCCCTATGGAAAACAACAAACCCAAGGCAAATGACCGGGTTTTGGATCTCAGCAGCTGCCAAGCGCCACGCTTGAGATGCAGGGGAAAGCTGTGCTTAGAACTGGATTGGGTTTTCATGTAGCCACAGCAAGCTTTGGTCTTTACAGCTACTGAGGGCTTTGCAGGCTCCTCCCGAGCTCTCAGAGGACAGCCCAGCACTGGCACGCGTTGTAATCTAGGGTGTCCTTGCTAGGGACAAATGTGGTGTATTGAGACGTGCAGCCCTCGTGTTCCTTCAGGTCTTTCTGCTCAGAGCTGGGGACAGAGCAGGCTGCTGCTGCTGTGCTGCCCTTTCAAAGGGGCCTTGCAAGGAACGCTCACACTCTGCCCATGGCAGGCAGGGCTCCATCTCCAGCCCTCTGGTTTCCCCTTTGCCCATGCCCAGTGCTCCCATGCAGTGCGCACAGCTGTAGCACTGGGGCTGGCTCAGGTCCTCAGGGGGCTGCACAAGGGAGTCTTTTGGGGGCAGATGCCAGGGGAGCTGCAGGTGACTGAAACGAAACGGTGATGCAAGGGCAGAAGCTCTTGCACGTGCAGCCTCTGGCTGCCCCATCCTGCTTGAGCCTTGCCCCCACCTTCCCTGCCTGCCCTCTCCCAGCAGTACAAAGGATGCTGCTGCCATCCTTGGGCTTGGGGAGCACCATAGGTGCTTCCTTCAGCCCATCCACCTCTGCTTGAGAGCGTAAAGACTCCTCTGGTTGCCATTGCCAAGGCTCCCTGCTTCCTGCCCCTGGGCTGGGCTGAGGTCTCTCCACTGGAAACACCAACGCAAGAGAAAGCACAACGTGGTAATTAAGCGTCCTTCCCAGCACACTTGTGCAGTCTTGCCCTGAAACAGCCTCTGCTCAAAGCAGAAGCAAAGTGGAGGAAAACCGGTGAAATAATGACAAATTGTAATAATAATACAAACAGTAATAACTGTTGTTCGACCACACAGCTGTGTTGGAACGGGGAAGCAAGTACCCCCAAGCAGAGGGTGCTGGAAAGCAGCACACTGCTCCCTGGCCCAGGAACCAAACCCGGGGAAGGCAGATGTGAACACAGACTGTTTATTTGACGTAGGGACAGAAAAAGGGGGAAGGTGAGCAAGGACCTTCGCAGTAAAACAATACTAAAATGGTAGTAAAAAACCCAACGTGCCAACTGCGGTAGAAGAAGAGAGTAACAACAACAGATCAACAACAGTCTAACAAGAACAGACCACCACTCCCGACACCAGACCGTACCGAGTGCAGAGACGCACAGCCATTCATCCAGCCTTGGCTGTGGAACCGTTCCAGCAGGAAGAATTGGATCCCCCCCGTTCCATCTCGGGCGCTGCTCCCAGCACGGTTTCTTGCCGGCAGCAGGGACGGGGCCTGGCCCCATCATTCCGGGCCCGCCTCCCCGCGCCTCGGGCCTTGCCTCGGCTCCGCAACCGCTCCCACACGGCGCTGCCCCCTCCACAGCCACGTCTTCACACCGGATCCCCCACGGGCCTCCCACCACAGACCGGAGCCGGAGCCGTCCCTGACAGCGCCGGCCCAGGACTTGGCTGCCACTCGGCAGCGGCGACCTCGCAGCGCTTCCCGCCGCGCCGTGCTCGCACCATGGCCCCAGCAGGGAGGCGGAGCTAAAATGGACGCGGCCGCGGCTGCCCCGCGCTGGTTGTCCATTGGCCGGGGCCGTCCAGCGCTGTTTCTCCATTGGCCGGGGCCGCCCAGCGCTGTTTCGCCATTGGCTGAATCCGCCCGGCCGTGACTCCTCTGTGGCCGCCCCTACGCTTTCCCCGCCTCGCCGTCGCTCCGCAAGCTCACTCCGCAGGGAAGGGGTGCGCGGCGGCCGCTGGGCCGAGCGAGGCGAGAGCTCTCCGGCGGTGCGGGCCGCGGGAGCGGGTGTTGCGCTGTGGCCGGAGCGGAGCGGGGCCGGGCCGGGCAGGGCCGGGCCGGGCCGTGTCCGTGCGGGAATGGCGGAGCCGGGGTTGGCCGTGTAGGAGCTCGAGGGTGTGTGTAAGGTAAGTGCAGCGGGGAGGATGTTGTGGTGGGTGCTGGCCGGGTGTGGGGTAAGAGCCGTGAGGTGGTTTCGGGGCAAGGGGACGAGAGGTTTGTGTGAGGATGTGCCGTGGTTCCGTGGGTCGGGCGAGCTCCGAGCAGGAGTCAGTGGTGCGTGCGGAGGGGCAGGGGTAGGGCAGGCCCAGGGCTGAGGGGCGGCGGGGCAGCTCCATGGGCGGTGAGGCCCGGGGGAGGTGGGGGTGTTCCATGGGGAATTGCAGGGGTTGCCCGGGGAGGGGGGGGGGGGCGGAGCGGAGCGGCGTTCCCGGGGTGCTGCAGGTTCCCGGAGCCCCCCTGGAGGGGTTCGGTGGGGCTGCCGCAGAGCCGCAGCGCTCCCAGCTCTGGTCTTTGGGAGCTTCGGTGTTGCTGATGAAGGGCTTCCCGTCAAGGTTGTGACCTGAGTCGAGGTCTTGCTCTGGCCTGGAACCTGGCTCAAAGCTCCTGTAAGCAGAGTGGCGCCTCACGTGTACGAGCAAGGGTTGTGCTCAGCAGCGGGCGCTTGGAGGTGATTTTCCCCTTGCCGTGGAGCTTTGTAGCTCGAGAGATCTGCACGTGTTGGATCTGTGCCAAAGTAAGGCCGGTCCGATGCCCTGGGTGTTTCACAGGGACTGCTTCCTTTCAGACACTTGCACAGCTCGAGTGTTACCTGCCTTTGCCTGGAACAGAACCGGTGCTCTCTAAAGAAAACCCAGAGATTCCACAGGGCAGTGGAAACAGAGGTTGAGCTCAGTTGGTGCTCCTCTGAGGAGGTGAAGGCTTCTTGTAGCGTCGTGTTTGTAGGCAAAGGCTGTTTTTTGCAGAGCCTGGCGTCAGGCTGCTGGCCTGAGCCTGCAGGTGCGGGATGGCTGGGTTTGTGGTGTTCATTCTCAGTTTGTGCTGTTGGAATCTGCTCTCGCTAAATCTGTGATCTGTTTTAGACTTGGATGTCTCAATGGATGCGTGGAGCTTCTTCTCTACTTGCCTGGTGTCCTTATGGCTGCACAGGCTTTACGTCTGTTCTGCAGTTGCCTTTGGGGTCAGCATTTGGATCGTCATTCAGTTCTCCACCTCCAAACCCCAAGAGAAGGTAACAGAGCATGTAGGTGCTTTGAGAAGAGCCCCAGAATCTGTGCCCCGCTCCACAGCCCAGCGAGCAGTTGCTGGGGAAAGGAAGCCCCTGGTGCAGTGAAATGTGCTACTCCCCTGTGGGCCCACCGGAGTTGTTGCATGTGCCAGCTGTAGTTCAGTGTGTCTGATGGTTGTAATCCTCAGTCCTGGTCGTCTTATGTTTGTGGGTAGCTGAACGCGCTCTTTGCTCCGCTGTTACAGCAGAACTCATCTGAATGCTTTCCATTTGTTACTGAGGGAGTGTGTCAGCCTCGCTTGCTCTGTCACTTCAGGCAAATCACTCTGCTTCTGCAAGGTTTTCTCATTTTTCCTGTGATGTTAATGATAAGGTTGGGCTGGTCTGGGGACCAGGGTGGGATTAGGCCACTCGGGAATTAAAATCCTTGCCGTTCAGGTGAGTGAAGCTCTGCTTTAGGAGTTGGGACGTTCTTGGTTTCAGCCTGAGTCTGTTATCTCAGCAGTGTGCGAGATGAGCGTGTTGTAGCATGGCCTAGTTTGGAGAAAGCTACTTGTGTGTCTCTGTAGGGTGAGAGACACTCAACTGCTTTGTTCCATTTGCATGGTGCTGAGAGTCTGATCACAGGACTGGAATTTTCAATGCTTTTGGGGAAAAGGGGGTTACCATCGCTTTGAAAAGGGATGGAACGCGAGACAGTGCTTGTTCCACAGGGTGAAAAACCCACTGGGAATCCCGCTTCTTCTGAAGGAATAGAAGACAAGGTAGTCAATGGATGTGCCACCCTGCAGAGAAAGGAGGTCTACGTTGCTGGGGTAAAGATTTTCTATGGGTCTCAGACTGGCACAGCAAAGGTATGAGTTACTTTTTTTCCATGTGCATGATCTTGAGTTGAAATGTTGAGATTCGAGTATGTTGCTTGCCTTAGAAACACTACAGTGTGTAAAGATCAGAGTTCCTTAGGTCATGAGAAGTTGTTACCCAACAGGAAAGATAAGTGAAAAGCATATAAAAATAAGAGCTTTACTACTGCCTTCATGTGGGGTATGCAGTAGAGACATTATTATGAAGCTTCAAGTTTACTCTTACAGTGTTATAGAACCCCAGCCTGGTTTGTGTTGAAAGGGACCTTCCAGTTTTAACCCCCTGTTACAGGCAGGGACACCTTCCACTAGAGCAAGTTGCTCCAAGCCCCATCCAACCTGGCCTTGAATATACTCTTAATTTGCTAGCTGATCTTCTTAGAAGTGCTCTTTCAGGTGCTTTTTCAAAAGGAAATGTCATTTGTGTGTGTAAATATAAAATCGTTAATCATAAAATTCATGTGATTCTGTTTTTCCAGCCAGTATATCCTTGCTGTGCTGGGAGAAGTCCTGTCTCTGGGCACAGCAGGGCTTGTTTGACCTTTCAGGTACCTGTGTTGTAGCACCCAGTTGCTGTCTCTGTTTCTTTTCTCAGAGATTTGCCAGAGCTCTTGCTGAGGCAGTTATTTCCCTTAATGTGCCAGTGGAAGTCATTAGCACGGGAGACTGTGATCCAGATGATTGTTTATTAGACGAGGTAGGTATGTTGTAAATGGGAATAATAATTCCAAGCTTTTCCTGGGGTTGTGAAGGCAAAGCTGTTGTGTTGCAATTTGCTTTCCTTCCATGGAAGCAAGTGCAGTCCATCAGCCCTTGGCAACAAATAGCTAAATGCTGAAATTGCTGAGGAAAGGCTTATGTAGGGTGTGTGATGCCGAGCTTGGCTTTGTCCAAGCCAGTTGTGTAACTCGGCTGTGAGTAATGGACAGTGTCTGCACCAGGGCCCCTGTTGTGTCTATGAGTGTCCACCTGGGAAGGGTTCAAAACTGGAGTAAGAGGATAGTGATTCTTCTGCAGCTTTTAGACTTAGAAACTTCTCGTGAGCAGTATTTCTGCTGGGGAATCCTTGGTGGATTTTTCTTCTGTCAATATTGATAGTTGATTTTTTTAATGTATGGGGGCGTTATTGCTGCAAGAGCGTGTTTTGGAAGCTGTTGATTGGGGTGGGGAAGGTGGGTGTCCCGTTCTGTTTTACCACTCCATTAAGCAGGGGAAAGAGAGCTTGTTCTCCTTTGGTTAATTTAAGATGGCTTTGCAGGGAGGATGGCCATCCACCACTGTTGGGGTTACCACCTGCAGCATCCCACACCAAAAACTATTCAGCCAGCCAGCCAGCCAAAATCTCATCTTTTGACTTCTTTCAGGTGCCCATGTGTTCCAGCTCTCTTCCTGAAGTGCTCAGAAAAATTGAGTGATCTTTTCTCTTGTGTTCTGTTTCTGTTCTTAGACAACCAGCAGGAACATCTGTGTGTTCTTGGTGGCTACGTACACAGATGGGCAGCCAACCGAGAGTGCAGCCTGGTTCTGTAGGTGGTTAGAAGAGGCTGCACACGACTTTCGCTTTGGGAAAGCCTATCTGAAGGGCCTGAGATATGCTGTATTTGGCTTGGGAAACTCTGCGTATGTTGCTCATTACAACACAGTAAGTATCTCCTGTGCACATGTCTTTGACTCCTGCTCCTCTGAAAGGCTGAGCTATCTTAAATGCTACGTACCTGCCCGTTACTGGTAGTTTGTGTGAGAATTGGCCCAGAAAGCCAATGGCATTCTGGGCTGCACCAAAAAAAGTGTGGCCAGCAGGCTGAGGGAGGTGGTTCTCTTCCTCTACTCTGTTTTGGTGAGACCCTCCCTCTGTTGCATCCAGCTCTGGGGCAACAACACATGGGATGTGGAGCTGTTGGATCGAGCCGCAGAGATGCTGCCTGGGCCGGAGCAGCTCTGCTCTGGAGCCAGGCTGTGAGAGCTGGTCTGGTTCAGCCTGGAGAAGAGACGGCTCTGGGGAGACATTAGAGCAGCTCCCAGAGCCTAAAGGGGTCTGATGATAAACCTGGAGAGGGGCTTTAGATAAGGGGCTGCAGGGACCGATCAAGGGGGAATGGCTTTAACCTGCCAGACGGGATACTGAGAATGGCCATTAGGGAAAAAATTCTTCCCTGTGATTTTGGTGAGACACTGGCACAGGTTGCCCATAGAAGTGGGCATACGGCAGTACCTGAGCCTTGTAATGAGTTTCATCTTGGTCGGAAAAATGGCGTGACTTGTCACCTGGTTGTTATGTTTGTGTAACTGGAGCCACAGGAAATGTGTTAGGGATGTGGCCATTTTGACCAAGCATAGCATAAAGGAGCTTGTTTCCAGAGCTCACCTCTTTCTTATCACATGGGTTTGATAGCAGAGGTGTTTTCCATCACAGAATGCTTTGGGTTGGAAGTGACCTTAGAGCTCTTAGAGTTCCAACCCCCTGCCACGGGCCTTGTGCCACCTTCTTGTGCCTTGAACACTGCCAGGGATGGGGCAGCCGCAGCTTTTCTGGGCACCCTGTGCCAGCGCCTCAGCACCCTCACAGTGAAGCATTTTTCTCGTAATGTCTAATCCAGGTGTGGTGGTGTTCAGACTGTGTGTGCTCTGAGCCGGCAGGTGAGGGAGAGTCCAGAAGTGCCTGTCCTGCAGTCCTGTGCAGCCCTCTTTCCAGGCTTGGTGCTTGCTTTCTTAGTTGCCTGCTTTGTTTAACTTGCCCTTCATTTAATTTCCCTCTAACTTTGATCTTATCCCAGGTTGGAAGAAATATTGACAGGTGGCTGTGGATGCTCAGCGCCAGCCGGATCGTGACTCGTGCCGAGGGGGACTGTAACGTGTCCCAGAGCGAGCATGGCACCATTGAGGCCGACTTTGAAGCCTGGAAAGCCAAGTTCCTCACTCAGCTTCAGGCCCTCTGCAGAGGGGAAAAGAAGCCCTGTGGTGGGAAGTGCAAGAAAGGGAAGTGCAAATCTCCAGGGAAGCAGAGCAGGGAGAGTTCAGATCATGAACATGGGGTATCGGAATATACGAATACTGAGGTAAAGCCCAAATCCGTGGGACCTTATTTCTGATTTAGTACCCCTTGTAGCACTGGTTGACTTCTCTCCTTTCTCCTTCAGCCCAGAGGGGTGCCGTGGGAGCTTGATACCTCTTTTTTTTTGGATCAGAGGGGGAAGAGGGATGAGATCCCATGGCAGATAGCAAGTAGAATAAGCCACCCAAGAAGGACCAAAGAATTAGTGATGGCTGATGGTCCTAGGCTAGATGGCATGTGTATGATGAGTCTTCCTCTTGCATAGGGGGAGGTATGTGTTGTGATACATGCTCCAGGGACCCAGTCTGGGTTCTCTTCAGAGCCTTTGCTTTGTCTCGTGGCCAAGTTCACTTCACATTTAGTTCTCTGGGAGCAGTTAACCTGCTTCCATTTCAACTTGGGGAAATTTAGGTGCTTTGCCTGAATCCCAAGGTTTTTCCAAAGGCAGTTGGGGGAGTGTTCTCTGAGCAAGTCCTGTATTTGCTCTGAATGTGTGTCTGTAATCATTTTTGTGTCTTCTGGCGTGTTTGTTGATTGCAGGCTTGAATAAGGAATCCTCTCTCTTGCTCTAAAATGCAAGACCCAGAGGTGCTGTGGCACTTTAATCCTGCCGGCAAGGTGTTTGCTGTGAGTTGGAAATGACTATGATGACCATGTTGAATTCTGTAGTAAAAGAAGGTCTCTTCTGTCTGAGTGGGTTTGAGGGTGCTGCCTACTGCAGGAACAAGAGGAATAAGCATTGCTGTTCCACCAGTGCTCTTCTGCTGTACCTTGCCTGTGTACAAAAAGGGAGACGGTGTTTCTGCTCTGTGAAGAATTTGACTGGGAAAGCAGATCTCTCACTCCCTGTTCATCAGACACCAAGGGGCACTCGGGGGAATTGAAGGGCTTTAGGCTTCCAGATGATCACAGTACAGAGTGGGAGTCTGACTTCTCTGATTGCCTGTCATGGGATCAGGTGGGCACATGAGGGAAAGGGAGTAATCTGGAGGCAAGAAAGCTGGGCTGAGCTTCAGACACCAAAGAGAGCCCCAGGTTTAAATGCATCTTGTACACATTATACAGGTTATTGGTAGGCTGTTCCTTGTTTTTCAGTATCTTTGCCGAGTGTGAGAGCTGTTTTCACTGGTTAGCATAGATGAAGATCTAATGCTTAACATTCAGATACAATTCTCACTTGGATTTTTGTCCGATCTCTTACACAGGCAGAAGAGTTGTTTGAAAGCAGTAGTGAGGAGGAAGCTGACGCTGAGGAAGCTGGAGGGTCAAATTCTGTCCTTGATGTTGAAGATCTTGGCAAGATCATGAGGCACGTGAAGGAAGCCAAGGTACCACTGTTACAACGAGTGTGGAACTATCGGGTCTTTATCAGTGATCAGTTGAATCGCTTAAAATACACTTGCTGGATTTGAATTGCTGGAGCTAGTTAAAGGGAGAGTAAAATAGAAGCTATTGGAGAACCTGTCCTCAAACAAGCCTATACTTGGAGGTGTGTTGGATATACTTCCTGGCTAACTGGGACCTGTTCGCTGAGCAAATAGTGCAGTGGTAACCTTTTATTGTGAGTCAGAGGGAAAATAACTTCCACTGTTCAGATCTGAATATCCATCTCTGTTGCTGTGATTCACAGTCCAGTGTCTAAACACAAATCTTGTTACTGGATCTGCCTGTGGGAGCTTGATCTGACCTGTGTTGAGCCTGGCAAAGACAACCATAATCCTGCTTTATGCCAGGGTGTTACTGTCTCCCTTCCTGTGTGGGTCTGTTCATGTTTCATTTTCCGTGTGCAGTCTTCCAGCAGAATACATTAGACTCCTTTATCTGGTTAGCACACGGGAAGGAGTGAGAATACACATAGGTACTAGGCTAAGCCTTCCTGTGTTCCCCACACTTCTTGCCGGCTGAGCAGTTGGCGGTTGGGATGGGAAGGGTGTGCCCAGGAGGGACCTGGGATGTCTGTGTTGCCACCTGCTGGCTGTTTCCCCGTTAGCAAGCTTTCTGTGGTGGGCTCTTTCCTTGTGCATCCTTGAGCTGCTCTCCACCCTTTCCTCAACAAACCTACCTCTGTCTGTAACTGCACCATCCTTGTCTTGCATAGCTCTGCGCTGTGGACTTAGATTCATAGAATCATAGAATCGTTAAGGTTGGAAAGGACCTTAAGATCACCAAGTTCCAACCCCCCTGCCGTGGGCAGGGACACCTTACGCTAAATCATATCACCCAAGGCCTCGTCCAGCCTGGTCTTGAACACTGCCAGGGATGGCGCATTCACAACCTCCCTGGGCAACCCATTCCAGTGGCTCACCACCCTAACAGGAAAGAATTTCCTTCTTATATCCAACCTAAACTTCCCCAGTTTTAACCCGTTACCCCTTGTCCTGTCACTACAGTCTCTAATGAAGAGTCCCTCTCCAGCATCCCTATAGGCCCCCTTCAGATACTGGAAGGCTGCTATGAGGTCTCCACGCAGCCGTCTCTTCTCCAGGCTGAACAGCCCCAACTTCCTCCGCCTGTCTTCATGCGGGAGGTGCTTCAGTCCCCTGATCATCCTTGTGGCCCTTCTCTGGACTTGTTCCAACAGTTCCATGTCCTTTTTATGTTGAGGACACCAGAACTGCACACAATGCTCCAGGTGAGGTCTTACAAGAGCAGAGTAGAGGGGCAGGATCACCTCCTTCGACCTGCTGATCACGCTCCTTTTGAATGCAGCCCAGGATACGGTTGGTTTCTGGGCTGCAAGCGCACACTGAAGCCGGCTCATGTTCGTTTTCTCATCAACCAACACCCCCAAGTCCTTCTCCACAGGGCTGCTCTGAATCTCTTCTCTGCCCAACCTGTAGCTGTGCCTGGGATTGCTCTGACCCAGGTGTAGGACCTTGCACTTGACATGGTTAATCTTCATGAGGTTGGCATCAGCCCACCTCACAAGTGTGTCGAGGTCCCTCTGGATGGCATTCCTTCCTTCCAGCGTGTCAACCGAACCACACAGCTTGGTGTCATCGGCAAACTTGCTGAGGGCGTACTCAATCCCACTGTCCATGTCAACGACAATGATGTTAAACAAGACCGGTCCCGACACCGATCCCTGAGGGACCCCACTCGTTACTGGTCTCCAGCCGGACATTGAGCCATTGACCACAACTCCTTGTATGCAGCCATCCAGCCAGTTCTTTTTCCATTGAGTGGTCCATCCGTCAAGTTGATGTCCCTCCAATTTAGAGACAAGGATGTCGTGTGGGACAGTGTCGAACGCTTTACACAAGTCCAGGTAGATGACATCAACTGCTCTACCCCTGTCCATCAGTTCTGTAGCCCCATCATAGAAGGCTGCCACATTGGTCAGGCAGGATTTCCCCTTAGTGAAGCCATGCTGGCTGTCACCAAGCACCTTGTTGATTTTCATGTGCCTTAGCATGCCATCCAGGAGAATCTGCTCCAAGATTTTGCCAGGCACAGAGGTGAGACTGACTGGTCTGTAATTCCCCGGGTCATCCATTTTCCCCTTCTTGAAAATGGGGGTTATATTTCCCTTTTTCCAGTCATCGGGAACTTCACCTGACTGCCATGATTTCTCAAATATGATGGCCAGCGGCTTTGCAACTTCATTCGCCAGCTCCTTCAGGACCTGCGGGTGGATCTCATCAGGACCCATGGACTTGTGCACGTTCAGATTTTTAAGATGGTCTCAAACCAATTCCTCTCCTACAGCGGGCCCAAGGTCTTCATTCTCAACAGTCCCTGGGTCTGCCTTCCAAGACTTGGGTGGTTTGGTCAGAGCCTTTGCCAGTGAAGAGTGAGGCAAAGAAGTCATTCAGACCCTCAGCCTTCTCCAACTCCTGTGTAGCCAGTTCTCCCGAGAGCTTCCTGAGGGGGCCTACGTTCTCCCTAGTCTGTTTTTTATTTGCTATGTACCTGTAGAATCCCTTCCTGTTATCTTTAATACCTCTAGCTAAGTTTAATTCTAACTGGGCCTTAGCTTTCCTAACCTGGTCCCTAGCTTCTCGGGCAACATCCCTGTACTCTTCCCATGCCACCTGTCCTTGCTTCCACTTATTATAAGCCTTTTTTTCAATTGAATTTTCCTCAGGAGCTCCTTATCCATCCAAGGAGGTCTCCTGGCCCTCCTGCACTTCCTTCTGGTTGGGATGTAACACTCCTGAGCTTGCAGCAGGTGATCCTTGAATATCAACCAACAGTCTCGGGCTCCTCTGCCCTCTAGGGCTGTATCCCATGGAACCTTCCGAAGCAGGTTCCTGAAGAGGCCAAAGTCTGCTCTTTTGAAGTCCAGGGCAGTGAGCTTGCTGCACACCCTTCTCACTGTCCTGAGGATCTCAAATTCGAGCATCTCATGATGGCTGCATCCAAGGCTACCCTGGAGTGTCACATTTCCAATGAGCCCTTCCCTGTTGGTGAGCACGAGGTCAAGCATGGCACCTCTCCTTGTTGGCTCCTCTACTACTTGCAGAAGAAAGTTGTCTTCTACACAATTGAGGAACCTCCTGGATTGCTTGTGCCGGGCCGTACCGTCCTTCCAACAGATGTCAGGGTGGTTGAAGTCACCCGTGAGAACAAGGGCCTGCGAGCGTGAGGCTTTTCCTATCTGTCTATGGAGGGCTTCATCCGCAGGTTCTCCTTGATCAGGCAGTCTGTAACAGATCCCCACAGTAATGTCTCCCATAGCTATATTCCCTTTAACCCTGACCCACAAACTCTCTGTGGACTGCTCACCTGTCCCCAGACAGAGTTCCATACTCTCCAGCCTATCCCTAACATAAAGGGCAACCCCCCCTGTTTGCCTGCCAGGCCTGTCTTTTCTAAAGAGCCTGTAACCTTCTATCGCAACACTCCAGTCATAGGATCACCATGTTTCTGTGATGCTTATTATATCATACCCCCGTAGACGTGCACACATCTCTAATTCCTCTTGTTTGTTCCCCATGCTACAGGCATTTGTATAGAGGCATCTGAGCCGAGCTCCAAATGAAGCCGGCTCATTGGCTGGAGTGGCTGGGATATCTCTACATTGCTCTGAGCTTTTATTATAGGTTCTGGCAACTGACTGGGTGTGTTGGGATGGAACGATGCCCCCCTGCCCCAACACATCTAGTTTAAAGCATCCTTTACCAGTCTGGCAAGCCTCCTACCAAAACTGCACTTCCCCTTTATCAGACCAGCTCCACCAGCCCCCACTAGACCTGGCCTACAAGCTTGGGTGCCGTGTTCAAGACACCCAAACCCCTGACTATGACACCAGCCTTTTAACCAGTTATTAACCTGGCCAATCCTCCTAGCTTTTTTTAGGTCCTCCCCTGTACCCTGGAGAATTGATGAAAAGACCACCTGAGCTCCAGAGCCCCTAACCACCTCCCCCAGGGCTCTGTAGTCCTTCTTTATGTTCCCCAGGCTACTACTGTCTATATCCCTAGCACCCACATGTATCACCAGGAGTGGGTAATAGTCCGTGGGACTTACTAGAGCAGGCAGCCTCTCTGCCACATCCCTGATCCGTGCCCCTGGTAGGCAACACACCTCCCTTGAGACGGGGTCTGGACAGCAGACAAGTGCTTCTGTCCCTTTCAGTGTAGAGTCCCCTACTACTACGACCCGCCGCTTTTTTCCTAGCAGCACCAGTAGAGATCTTCTTTAGCAGTGCATCAGCCGGCTGTTCTGGCTCGAGTGCATTTCCTCATTAGCCCCCTGCAGGACAGCAAAGCGGTTCTGCTTGCGGACAGGGGATTTAGGGGGAAGCCCCTTGCTTTTGGTTGTCCTTTTCCTTCTTTTTTTGTTGTTTTTTTTTTGTCACTAATTCCCAGGTTAACGGCCTCCTTCTTTCCTTCATGAGGTAGAGGTGAAGCTCGAGGCCCCTGCACAGTTTGGGCTGGGAGCAAGCATTCCTGCTTCCTCTCAGCTTCCTTGACATCTCACAGTCTATTAACAGCATCCCGCAGCTCAGCCACCTGCTGCAGGAGGACCTCCACCAGGGAGCACCGAGTGCAGCCCTGCCCTTCTTCTCTCAGCTGTTTCCTGAAACTCCAGGCCTTGGATCACAGGAGGCTGCGTGCTCAGGAGGAGAGCACGTGGTCTCTGTTGCTGACCTTAGGGAGGGGAAAGGAGATAAAATCCTCCCCACTGCTTGTAACAGGCTCTGTGAGGAGAGTAGCTCCAGTGACGTGGGGCAAGGCAGGCTGCTGTGCGAGAGCTCCTGCCCCTGAGCTTGTATGGACCTGGTGCACTGCAGCTTGCGGATGAACCAATTGGAGGGAGAAGGGCTCAATCTCTCCCTGTGTGGCTGTGCTGTGGTCCTTTCTCCTCTCCCTGTGTGTACTCG